AAGAGGAGAGGAAGAGGAGAGGAAGAGGAGAGGAAGAGGAGAGGAAGAGGAGAGGAAGAGGAGAGGAAGAGGAGAGGAAGAGGAGAGGAAGAGGAAGAGAAGGAGAGAAGAAAAACCCGAAGGAAAAAACCCCGAAGGAAAAAACCCCGAAGGAAAAAACCCCGAAGGAAAAAAACCCGAAGGAAAAAAACCCGAAGGAAAAAAGAAGAAGAAAAAAGAGAAAAACACCCTCAAAACACTGGACTCTAAGTAAGAGGTCGCAGGTGAGCTGGTTTCCGAAAGCACTTTTCTACATTCTAGAATCTCCATCCAGGAAGACAGTAGTTAAAAAGAAGTTTAAGTATTTGTCAGCTAATACATTTTTCTGCTGTGCTGATTTTCCATTCTTAGCAATGGTATGATCTAGAGACAATCAATTACTTTTTCAAGCTAATTGAAGTTTTCAGTAACAGCAGCATGAAAGAGAAAAGTCTACACTTTTCAGTAACCTCAGAAAACCAACCCCAAACGTCTATCCAAGAGGGACAAACCATGAGGAGGCAGACTGGCCAACCAATAATTTTGTCTCTCGCCTAGAAGATCCACTACACTTCATTCAAAGAGTTTTAATTAGCTAAGTAAATAACAACGTGTAATGGATGTATTTTGACACTATATTTGATCTACTTGAAACCTTTAATCCTCCTTTTTGGTTAAAATTGAATAAATCCTGCAGAAGATCTATTCAACTCTGCAAAGATTCAGCGTTTCGGAAAGAGAAAGCAGGTCTGTCCCAAAAATCAGCACTTACTCTTTTCATTTCAACTGGTCAGGGAGTAGCTTTATTGGGAAGTTTACTGGTGCAGACAGTCAGTATCTGCACTCCCATGGAGAAAAACACCAAATAAATGCAACCTTAGGGACGAGCAACATAGTCAAAAGCAGTTCAGTATTTTAACAAATGCCTCTCTAATATCAAAAAAAAAAAATCTGCCAACATTTCAACAGACAGAATAAAAGAGCATTCAACTGATGTTCTCAATCCCAAACACGTCAGGAATTCAAGACCTTATATGAAGGGCTCACCCTGATTCGCTCTCACTTCCAAGCTTTTTTAGTGTACATGACCACTTAGCTTGCAAATTAATTACTGAGATCAACAAAAACACAGCACTTTGCTCAGCTAAGCCGGCTAAACGCAAGCGAGCGTGGTGTCCACCCCCCGTGCTATATCATAGCAGGGCACTAAGCCATGGTTGACTCTATATGGCCCAACGAATGCATCATTTCACACATACACGTGCAAAAAGCATCTTGATAACTTACTGCATACAGATGTTGCAGAAGAATTTGTTTGCAATAGAAAGCCAGGGCAAAGACCCAAAGCCTGGAACTTCTACAGATTTATAAGTCACACTCTTGTTCAAAAATACAACTACTTCTTCAATGACTTGCTCCCCTGCTATGACATGGCCATTTTAAACCAGGCAAGATCAACCACCTCCTAGTCCAAATTCATCATTTACTTGTTTATTTCCACAGTCTCCAAGATGCAAAGAGCACACAGCTGCATATACTCTTTTACAGAAGCTTCCTCTGCTTTATATGCAGAACAGCAATGAAGTGCTAGGAAAACCTCAGAAAGCCAAATTCCTGAGCTCCTCAGTTACAGTGCAATAGCAGCTGGAGGAAGGAACAAGGGAGGACCAAGTGTGCACAAAAAACTATCACTGATGCTATCACAAAATGAACAGAAATTAATCTTGAATCCCCTTCAGCTAGTACTCAAGGGAGCTTAGGGGATCTAAGAGGTCCACAGCTTTTTTTTTCCACCATCCACAGCAGCTAGCATCAATGAGAGCGTTCCTGCAAGAGGTTTCATCGAGATGGAATATGATGGGAATCAGTCAGGTGAGATGTGCTGAGGAACTGAAATCCTCCTCAGTGAGACCAGCACCGCTGTAATCCACAGAGACAACTGCTTTTGGGCAGTAAAAGTGCAGATAGCATCAAGAGGCTGAAAACGGATTAGATAAGTTTATGGATAATAGCTCCATAAATGGGTAGTCAAGAGAACAGGCGGGGTCTCAGTCTCCCATGTGCCAGATACAACTTTTTACTGACTCCCACACAAGAACAGCCAATATTCATGGTTACCACAAGTGAAAATTCCGTGCAAACGGCAATAAATTCTATTATAAAATAAAGGCAGTTCATTAGAAGGACACGCGGACACTGCAGGATGGAAGGGGAGGCTTACCTCCAGAAGGTCTGAGACGATGGGTAGGACTTCGGGGTTGCAAATATCGATGGAGTCATCCCGGTACGTTTTCTTTTTGTAGCGGATGTTACCCAGATGCAGTATCGCAGACAGCAGAGAGAAGATTCTAAAGAGAATAAGGAGAATTCATTTGTAGCTTGTCTTATCTCTCAAAGCTAATGAAAAAGCCTCCCAAGTTTCCGTATCCAACTTTGCTGCAAAACTTGACCCAGCATTTATGGGATGCCATCACCAGGAAAACACCAAAATGACAAAACTCTTCAAAATAGTTTAAAAGCAGGCAAAAAATCCCAGCCTACCTCTTGTTCTGCTTCACATTTTGCCTCTCCTACAATACTTTTCACCCTCCCTCCTCAAAGTGGCATCTTCCTAGTTAACTTACTCATCTAAAGTACAACCTGAAGCACCTTCTGCCCATAATTTCCAAGCACTCGCTCACAACCTGGCGCTCAAAATAAGCATCCAACCTGCATCACACCAGCCTTCATTCTCTCTACTCAAGTCCAAACTTGCCAGGTGTGGGTACACCCTCTCGGGTTTAGTCCCAGCTTGGAAGCCTCTACAAAAGAGCTTAAACGCTTTTATTTTACATAAGCAAATGAAGACAGAAAAAAAAAAAAGAAAATTACTGCTCCCATTAAATTTATCTAATGAACTTTTTTGGGGGGAGTAATTTGGTAACGTTTTAGGTATAATCTTCCTTCTACAATGTCTGCTCTTTGAGATTATCCATAGTTGATTTCAGCTATAAAATGTGTGTGTCTAGGTGTCTGGCTCTGCATGCTCAGGAAAGCTAAAAACAAATAGAAATGAGTTCTGTTCTACAGAGACATGTGTGTGCAAGCACTTATATCCATGTAAGTAAAACCATACATGGCACAGTTACGTCACATCTAAACTAACCCAATCCTTAGAGCATAGATTGTGCAGAGATAGAAAAGAACAGTGATACTTAGGTACCTTTTTAATTTAGTCTGATCTCTGGCATGAAAAATAAGTAACAAGAAAAATAATAAGTAATATATAATTTTAGGTAGCAACTTTGGCCTCAACGTGATAAATTCCGATTTATAAAATGTAGCTTTTCATCATATTCCTGGTCTCCTACCATGACTTCTACCTTCTATTTGCTGCAACAGGACTATAGATCTTAAAAAGGTTTTCAAACTGCTGAAACATTTTTATATGGGAGTAGAAGGTGGGACATTATGTCCCACAGTCAAGGGCTTCCAACCGACAGCTCAGACACTTTGCTCAGACTTTTAAAATAAAGAAGAATGATGCTTAAAACAAGAGGAGGCAATCCACTCAGCTGCAAAAGATGTTAGCATCCAAAACTTCATTTACCCTTGGTGATGAATAGGGCTTCAAGTGCCATTAGCACAAAGCAGTAACTCCCTGTTGCTACATATTTCAAACAGAAAGGAAAATGTGTTCATTAAATTATGGTTCAAGCCTTTTTACTCATTAAAAAAGTGTGTGTTCCAGTTACTGATTTGCATTTCACCGACATGGGTAGTGTCAAAAACAATACGCACTTTGAGGTCTTCTTTTTTAATATATATTTTTTGCTATGTGTCAACTACTTTAATAACATATTGGTCAAATTCATTCTGACTTTCTCAAGAGCATCAAACAATGAAACGTGCCAATGATTAACACTCCAAGAATTATTTTGCAGTTTCAGCTGAAGAGGAGTCCCAATTCAAAGCGTGTCCTTCTTTGCAGCCCAGAGAGGACAGCAACAGCCTCTGTTTTCCTTCATTGCCCTGGTGGATGAAGGTCTGGTGGTAACACCCTTCTTCGAAACTGGCAGGTCAACGCATTAAGCATGACTAGTAATTAAAAGTTAGAAATAGAGTTTACACCAGTTTCTGGATTCATGATACACAGAGTAGACAGAGAACGTGCCAGAGAAGGCAGGTTTGTTCACAAATAGTTCAAAAATGCTTTAAGGTACCAACCTCCTGCAGCCCCTCAACTTGCATAAGCAGAACTGCCGTCTACGCTGCTGACAGGTGTATTTTGCCTATATCTTTAAACATTTCACATCAATGATCTGATATGTTTACCGAGTCAAGTTAGCCTAAGGCACGCGCAATATCTCGCTTATTTTGCCTGCTCTTAATCTGGGAAATGAACTCACTGCCTGCGAGTCTTGGGGAGGAAGCCCACCATCTCCATGGCCAGCTGCAGGCGCTCAAAGTCGTGCTTCAGGTCCTCCCCTTCAACGGAGAAGCAGTCCTGAGGGGTTCAAAGAGGAGAGATGAAGCACTTAAAGAAATTAAGATCAGAACAGGTCCAGATGGCCGCTTCAGCGCTCCATAAATAGCATCCTGTAATTTCCATGCCTTTTATCTGCAACTAGAACATTTCCAAGCTGGCAGGGGGGAAATGAGAGATACGGGGGGGCCCCACAAACATTATGGGGAATAACTGTGGCTGATTCCCAACCATGCCCAGCCCTTCCGACGCTGCCGAACGCATGCTCCAAACACTCGGCTCGCTCCTCCGACAGAACTTCAGCGCCACCGGAGCACCAGTGCATTTACAGGTGGCTTCATCCCTATTAATTGTCCTGGGTGACAGCGAAAAACCCGGGCTATGTTTAAGGGCAAATCATCACTGGAGAAAAGAGGTCATCTACCGTGAACCGTGGTATCTACCATGGTTCTGCCACGAAATACACACACACACACACACACACATATATATATATACACACACACACACGTGTGTATGTATGTATGTATGCATAATTTGCTGAGTTTGGAAGTATTAAGCATTTTTTCCCCATTTCCCCCCCTTTTTCGTAGAAGCTGGCCAGCAGATACACCACTGTAGCCACTGTGGACTGCTGCAGGGGCCAAGCTACTCTTGCCATACATTGACCAGAATTTTCACCACACTGTCATCTCAAACACGGTTTATTTTAAAAATGGGCATTTTAATAAAAAGTCATGGGTATTTCTTCAGATTAAACACCCAAGCTAACCCCAAAATGAGGCAGGCAACCAAAAGGGCAATGCAAAAAACAGTGAGAGTGTCCCAAGCTAAACCATGAGCAACATCACTGCAGGGTGCAGAGGGTTATCAGCAACTAATCTGCTTTTTTGCTCTCTCCTCGGCCCCAGCAAGGCAGGAGGGGATGGTGCTGGTTGCACTGACCGGCTCGGCGTCGCAGCCGTAGTCCTCCCAGCTCTGCCTGCGGGGCCTCCTCGTCAGCTGAAAAGCAAGAGCGGGTCAATTAGACAGCATTCAGACTAATATTAATACGGATAAACAGCGGATTAAACAGCGGATTAATCGATTAATTTGAATAAGCAGCACAGAATATGCTCAGCAAGTAGCAGGGTGAGACTTCTACCAGTCTTATCTGATACGCAAAAGACACCCAAACGCGGGAGATGAAAGTAAAGTTGCTCGCAAAAAAGGCAAAAATGTTTTTTCCAGCTTGCTTTCTATATTTACATGAACAAAATGACAGAATGTTTTCGGCTGAAATCTCGGAACAGATTACTTCTCATCTGCAATGCAAAACGCAATTCTGTTTTGCATGACACAGTGTGAACCGAGGAACCTGGGAACAGGAAAATGATTTTTGCCTCAAGGGCTCGGTGAGTCCTTGAGCTAAAGGATCCGTTTCAAGGTTTGATAGCTTTGTAGTTTTAATTTTTACAGCGAAACTTTCATGTTCGTCTCCAACTTTGTTCTTTTTCCTTTCAATAGGCAGGGGTTTCTCTCCGACACGTTTAAGAAGTCGCTGCGAGTGATCACGGGTCATTTTATTACATTGCCCTTCTAGGTTTCCAGAGTTCACATCCTCATTTAGCTTCCACTATTTTTTTTCTTGTTTTCTCTTTATTTTGCTTTTTCCTCTTTGACTAAAGGGCCCAGGAAAGACATTATTGCACTGTTAGAAAGCCTTAACACAAAACCGTGCACGGAACATATTTTAAAGAGCTATTTCCACAYCATTTTCAATGCAAACTTGTTTCTCTCACACTAACAAGTGCAATAAAATGATTACGTTCAAAACACTACAAATCCAAAAYGTCACTAGGCTGCACATATTGCATTTATGGAAATCCAGAGCCTGCTTCTGTGATCCACTGGATGCAGCTTTGCAGTCTACTTATCCAGAACGTAGATTAAAATACATTTTTCAACCTAAAAGATCTCATTCCTTTCAGCGCAATATATTACATGCCCCGGGATTTATTATATTGCTCAAGTGTTATAGCCTTGCAAAATTTAGCTGCTACTATTAAGAAAAAGGAAAAAAAAGGAATATAATTAAAAGCCATGTTTTAGACTAACATAAAACTACCGAATTGCCCAACATCATCTGCGAAGCTGCCAAAACATTGAATCCAAATTATCCTGGCGCTTCCCGACGTCAAGACTGCAGCACAGATGGCTGCAGAGAACAGAGCACGTTGCCCAACCTCTGCAGCGCGTACGGACGCGGAAGGCACAAACGGAGCAAGAGCCTGAAACTCTTCATATGTTCCTCGTTTGTGCAAGTTTCCTGATCCCGCTAAGCGTGGGTGGCAGTCATTAATATTACAATATATTTTGACTTTGATAGCCCACTTTAAAGGTCTTTAAAAAGCCCTGGGTAATGGAGACATTTAACAGCGTTAAATTATATTCCTAGCAAGACTAAAGGCTATTTGCTTTATCCTCTGTGTATAAGCATTTCTCGCTCTTCTGGGTTAACTTACTGGTTCCTGCTCCTCGAGTTTCCACTCAAAGGACATTGCAATGACGCTTTTCAAAACTGTCCTATAAAGTAACTGCAAGTTCCTCTTATTCCTAACTTTTTTTTTTTTCTCTTCTACCTTTCGGGGGAAAAAAGGCAGCATCAATTGATAAGAGCATCTTAAACACCTAAAGTAAGCTAGGTCTGCTGAAGGACTTTAACTGTCCGACAGCAGCAGCTCTTCCTGAGCCCCCCAGTTTCTTCACTGGCATTAAGCAGAGGCAATAGAATAGGCAGCAGGTCAAGCAAGCTGAGCACCCATGGCAAGGTTGTCCCACCTGGTTGAGGTAGTGATACTCCTCGGGCTGCTTAAGGTGAAAAGCAGATCTTTCTTCCTCGCTCGCTCCTGCCAGGAGGTAATAAAATACATGGTAGTTCCTGGTAACAAATAAAAACGCCGTTAAACTTGAAAGCAAACATCAGCCTTCAACAGAGACGCAGAGGCAAACCCCGACCTCCCGACTCGTAAGCTCGGGGGGCATCTTGAGCACACAGCACAGGGAAGGTGACACCTTCTTATGTTAGCAGGGGGACTTTGAGACAAGTCAGCCACTTAGCGCACAGGGCAGCAAGATAAAATCCCTAAAAGAATCATGGTTTTGGAAAGGGCACAGAGGGGATCTTCAAATGTGTCTGGAGTGAGATGCATCTGATTCCGGGACATCTGCTGAAACCAAATACTCCCTGTGACCCCCCAGTTCTCAAAGCAGGAGGAATATGAAGTCCAGGCTATTTCTTGATGGGAGAATTCACCATAAGCAGAGTTTACATGGTGATACACCCAGTCAGGGCCACTTGAAAGACATCCTGTTGTTGGGACACCTAACAGTCACTGAAACCCTATGCCACCAGGGGCCTTCAAGAAGGGCTCAACCTCTGSAGCTCAACCCATATCAGAGTGCTCAGCACACCTGGGGCAGAAATGGGTGAAGAAACCTCAAATCCAATTTAGAAAGCCCTTAGTGGGCACATGGAAGAAATACACAAAGTCCAAACTGCTTTGTGATGTCTGTGCTGCATCAATTTAATGCAGACGGCAGTTTTGAGGTGAGTCCATACCCAGCTCGCATGCTGCAGAAGACCAAACCAGGTAACGGAGAACTAGCTCCTCTATTCCAGCCAAGGACACACACCCTCCAGCAATATATTTCAAAAATTCCTAGATAACAGCCACATTTTCCTCCAGAAATATGTGCAAGGGTTACATACTTGCTAGAATCAAAGCAACATACTTGCCTAAAATTCAGAAATTACTACTAAAAAACCTGCGTTGCCATAAAGAAGTCCATAATTTCACAGCTCCAGTATTGTAGGGTCAGAATGGAAAATCATCTATTTTCGTGGCTACTAACATATTCAAAAATACTTGAATATTACTAATTCTACAAAGCACCAAGCAAGTGCATCTGTTTTGTTTCAAAACAACTATAAAGTCCTTGGTGCTAACAGAAGAGTATTTCTAAAATTAAAACTTGGCTTTTATGACAGGCATTTTCCAAAGGAAAACATATTTAGCCCGCTTACAGTGCTCCCAAGCACATTTGTCAYACTGGAGGCTGCACATCACTTAACTTTGGGATCAATCCATCAGCATTTAGAGAAACAGCTCCCACTAGACCCTTCAGCTGGTGAAGGAGGAGTTCTGACCTTCCATTGAGTGACAAGAATGTCCCACCCGTAGCCAAGATTTAATGTAGACTTCCACAAGACCAACTAACCCCAAGGGGGCACAGGCAGAGGTGCTGAGAGCTGACACACATCAGAAGACAGAAAATTCACTGTCTTTCACATTAGAAGCAGAAAACTTGTTAAAAATCAGAGTAGTCAGATGGACTTCAGTGTGCAGCTCCAAAACAGGACATCAAAAAGCCTGAAGTTCCAGTGGTCATCTCAACCAGCTCTGCAGTTCAAGCAGCATCTGAGATCTGCTCCTGCAGCTGCCCTGGGCTAGGGTGGCCCCAGCAGCTGTGTCACCCCCCAAGATCCCAAATGGTGGATTTCCAGAGAGCTGCTCCCAGTTTCATGGCCTTGGGCATTGCCAGCAAACCTGCCTTCTTCTCCACCATGTCCCTGAGCTTCCCCCTTCTAAAAACGTAGCCCAAGGAGAGGAGAGTTCTTGCTTTAATAGGAAGCAAAAGGGAGGATTTGCTCAGAAGCAAAAATGGGCTCTGATCTCCATTTAGTCAAATGCATCTGGGCCASCACCCAGAGCGAGCTAGGAATCAATCCAGGTGGAGAGCCCTTCATGCTCCTGGCACATGGAGCAGCGCAAAATCCTTGGGTCTTGGAAACGATCAAAACAAGAGGGACTCATCCTCCATCTGGGCTACCTAACCCTAGTTCAGGAGGCAGAATGGAGCCGCTCACCCAGCAGTGGCCTGGACACCAGRGCACTTGCTTAGAAAACAGGAGCTACAAATCTGCAGCACCCGCACAGCACTTTTTGCACCAGTGCTATTCTGCTGGCTAACGCAGCAAAGCTGCTGCCTCCATCTGCCACACTTTGGCAAACTGCAAACCCTGCTCACTTATTTCAGCATTTTTTGGCAGGCAGTCCTCGATGCACAGGTATTTACTGCTGCACTTAGTCACTGCAGTATGTGTGATGGGAGCTGGTTTAAACACACGCTCAGTGGGCCAGGATGTGAAATGAGGCAACCTGGTATCCTCTATTCCTAATCCACTGGTATCCTCTACTTCTAATCCACTGGTATCCTCTACTCCTAATCCAAACAACTAGAGTTTTTCTTGAGTTTTGACTTTTCTCTTCAAGCCAGCATGACACAGAATTTAAATATACGGTTTATCATGGAAGTAGCTATCATCACATTATTAGAAATGTGAGGATCTTGACCCCCCTTTCTAGCTGAAACAAGGTTTTGAGTTCCCTTTGCCGTGCTATCAAGACATTCGAAAATTAACACCAAGCATAGAAGCAAAACACAGACCTACCGTTCATTGTGTTCCTGATAGACTAGTCTGGATTTCTCCAGGAGATACTTTTCAACATAAGCTCTGGAGGAAGAAAAAAAAAAAGAAAAAAAAAA